TTCTCCCTTCACACTTTGAACAATATTTAATCTTGGCAGTTGTCTGAACGGCTAAAATACTTAATAACTTTTATCTTTACTAAGATTTGTGCTTAAACAATCAGTCAATTGATTTACATGCATTTATTCAGCAAAACTGCACAATATTTGCTTTTTCCAGCCTCTGCAATGTGAGGATTTGCCGTCATGTCGGACTGTTGGCCGGACAAAACAAACGTGAAGCCGTCAACTTGGGCTGTGAGAAATTATGATGGGTGCAAGAGTAGTTACTAATGAAAATACTAGTAGCAAACCTAACTAGGATTTAATTGTAAGGAGAAAACGCTTTGAGACAATGGCTGCTAAGAAATTAAACGTTAAGCGCATTTAAGTTCAGCTGTGATTTGCCGCTAAACTTTTCCTGGAGTCCAATAATAGGAGACAATTCAAGACTTTTCCAGACTATTTAAGGTCTCACAAACCGTTTCAAACGCCCCCAGATCTCCAGTGTAGAGTCCTTTTAGTTTCTACTCTCTGTCAGTGTGTCTGTCTGTGTCCTGCAGTCTGGCCCAGATCCTGCTCAAATTGGATTTGAAGCCATTAGTGTCCCAACTCGAAGCATATGTTTCGAGTTGCTGAGCATTTCATTTCACGAGACGATGAAGAGGGGGCTGAGGAAAAAAAGGAAAACATAGACGGCGCAGAAAAATAAACCAGACACAAACGGGGCTGGACCGAGTCTGCCGCTTACTTACAGACAGAGAGGGAGACGTCCCGTGCTCCGAAGAAAGCCCACTTTGACTTCAGGGTCACGTTCCTGAACATTAGTTTGTGACCGAGTGTGTGTGTGTGTGTGTGCATGCTCTCCATGCATTTCAGAGAGCGCTACCTTCCACACCACACAAAAGGTGCTGCTGTACTCCATCACGGAAATCTAAATATTCAGTCTGGGGGGGGGGGGGACATGAAAGCAGGGATTGTATTTCAAATGGCGGGCAACCCCCTCTCTGAAGCTTGTTTTTTTTCCTCTCCCTGTCTTTGCTGTCAAGAAAGGCAACAACTTTATTTATGTCCAAATACTGTGGATGCAGTGAGCGGGAACCCCCAAGCAAGTCGGATCATTATCTCTCAAATCTAAACAAGCCTTTACTTTCCCAGAACAGAGCGCGTATTCTATAAGCGCTTAAACATAGCGGGGGGATGGGCTTGTGTGTGTGTGTGTGTGTGTGTGCGCGTGCGTGCGCGTGCGTGTGATCCCGGGTTCCCCCGTCTGAGTTTAAGAACGGCAGAGTAAAACAGTGCAGGCTCTGTGGAAGCCAGGAAACAGCCTAATGTATTTATCCAAACACATATCTGCTGAGAGGCCCCGCGGCTTCAACACATCCCCTTCCTACCTCTTCCAAGTTTCAGGAATTCTGACTGCATTTCTGCACCTCAAACACACCGTCACTGTGTTCTTTTTCATCGCCGTGCTTCTCAGGAGATGCAGCGGCTGGAAGATCTAGTTCTCTGCTGTCTGACTCTTAATGCACTTAATAAACAGCAGTTTCTTTTACAGTATCGTCCACAATCTGTCGTCTTGCTGTCTCCGGATGAAAAACGTAAGCGTTTTAAGGATTTTCCTCTTTAACATCCGGCAGATCCGTTTATTTCCCCAACTTTGCTTGTTTCTCCATTTCCCTACAAAAGAGATATTTTATTTTTAATGCAAGGTTTCTCTGCTGCTTCTCTAACTGAACTATGCTTAAGGTCAACCGGTGCAACACCGCAGAATAAAAGGTGGAGATGAAACACATCAACACAATCTGTCAATCCTAAATAACAAATCCAAAAGTAACCAGCAAAAATGGAACCTTGCAGGGGGTACTTCATGTTTTAGAGCGGCGAAAACATTGTTTGTATTATCTATTATTTGCCTTTTTGAAAAGGAAAAAGAATTGAGGTAGCCTCTTCAAACTAGAATCTATTCAGGTGAATCCTCTGATGTCGTTAACCCCTGATTCCTATTGAAGCATTTGGCCTGATTTACTGTCGTCTCTGTCAACCATTAAAAACGGACTGACGTAACACGAACTGCTGGGTGACCTTGTCTCCTTCTGCACATTCGAGGCACTGACGCTGGCTGGCGCTGGCACCGCGGCTCACAGCTGAGGAATCCCAAAACAACACGGTGGCACAATAATGTGGAGGAAGGTAAGAGTCCCATTCAGCTGTTTACACCGTTACATAATTTGACGTTCTCCCCAGAATAATCCTGTTTACGTGAACATGATTATTCAGACAGAATTGTGGGAATCAGAGTGTTTCAGGGAAACAAAACCAAAAATAAACGTATTTGCCAGACATCCCCCAACGCGAGGGAGAGCGGCTGGTTTACTTTTCAGCTCTTCAGTCTTCACAGATTTGACACTGCTGCCCAAATATTCCTCCTCCTGTAATCTATCTGACATTAGTCTAAAAATGTCTCCTTTATGATATACATCTATATCTATATCTATATATATCATAAACTCATGGACTGAGTGTCAACCCCACAGGCCTCCATCGGTTTAACTGGATGCAGACGCCACTTCACTTCCACCTGAACGCAACACGATGATCTGAGCACACGTGCAGCCGGACCCGGATGAAGGAGCGATTAAGTGAAAGGAGGACTTTACAGCGTCTCTTATCTGATGGCCTCTAATGTCGATTAACAAGAGAACTCCATTACTTTCATTTAAGTCTGATCAGAGATCGTCATGATTATGTAACAAGAGATGCAGAAGCTAAACTTACAACTGCTGATTTTGGGAACAGTATTTCAGGATCTCCAAAGCAACTCAAGAGTTTTAAACTTGTGTTAAAGAAATGCTTCTTTAACAGTCGAGCATAAATCTGTCTTTGTTAACCTCCCTTAACAATCTGTGGCCGGGGGTTTTTCCTTCATAGAGAATAACGAGGCGGCTCGCCTTCGTCAAATTTCATCCGGTCGACAAAAGTCTTAGAGGTGTCTTCATGGAGTCTTTTAACAAGCAGTGCACCGAGTGGATTTGTGTCATTTACAACGGCAGCGGCATTACAGTGATGTAGCGGCGCTGTTCCTAATCAGCATAGTGAACCAGGAAGCAAGGGATGAAATGACACCATTGGGTATCACGCTTTCATGAGGCGCCACCAGTGTTTCGATGGTAACGTCTTTGCCACGTCAGCAAAAAAACAACAATTCAGTAAAGAAAACAAAACAGTCCGTGATCAGTAATAAACAGATATCAGTATTCGGGGTCATATTCTCAGTCTCAAGCATAGCTTAACCATCGCAGCTGATAATCTACTTCAGCACAATATTATTTGGACCACACCAGAAAATTGCTGGTGAACATTGAATATCCAAGGATTCACATTTTTTCTAAAATACACATTATACCGGAATTCCAGAATTACGCTGCAAGTAAAAAGTGTTTGCTTGAGGCAGTTGAAGGCATGCAACACATGCACGTGTGAGGAGATAACCCAGGTGGCATTGCACCTTTAAGGACAACAATGAAAACAAGCTTTGTGTTTTTACCATCAACAATATAAATACATGTCAGGACTTGGTTGTGTTGTTTTTACGTATATATACATAACAGTCACATCTGACTATAACAAAGACCACAATGGCACGTATGTAATTCGCGCATGGTGTTAGCGCAGGCTCTATTTTCTCACATTAGAGCCTGTTCGGTGTGTGACTTCCTAAAACTAAAATTAACGTCAAGTGTGAAAAATCACCGCCAACATGCTTCATGTTAAAGGTATTTTTGCAGAAGGATTTCATCCATCATTAGTTAGTTATAATATAGAAAAATCCCAAAGAGAAAGAGCAACAGGAATGTGTGGCGGCTTTTCTCCACTCGAAAAGAAAGCATGCATCTAAAAACAGCCAAATATGACCCAACAAAGAAGAAAGTTCAATAAAAGAGCAAAATAAAATGAAACGACACACAAATCCACTATGAAAACAGCAGACATGCAGCACTCTACGGCTCCCATTCAATCACTTCCTGTCCCTGCCACAGATAAAATATCTGAAGCACACTGTGCATAAAACTACAACAAAGAATCACTCAAAAATCTTGTTTAAAATCTTAAATCTGCTGTAACTGGGAGAAGACACAAAGCATGCAGCTGTGTGTGAGGCTATCTGTCCACAGATAAAACACACGCCGCTCTGGTGAGTGTGTGTGTGTGTGTGTGTGTGTGTGTGTGTGTGTGTGTGTGTGTGTGTGTGTGTGGCGAGGGCTGACGGGTCACAGCACTATGACCCACTAATGAGAGGCAGAGCATAACCGCATCAGACAAGAGCAACGCTAAGTAACTGGTCTGATAAATAAAATAAAAAGAGCGCCCTAATGCGGACAAAGCCCTCATGGACCACGATGACAACATGGCACAAACGATCACACTCTCGTAGGAAGCGGCGGCGAGCCTTCTGCAACGCAGAACAGGGAGGGAAACAAAGTCAGGGAAAGCTTTTTCTCCAATCTGTGTGAACCACCGAAAGCATTTAGTTCTCAGTGTTTTTTAAAATGTAACTTCCATGTTCAAACTTTGGGAACCAGTAACATCTCATTTCCTCAAATGTTACACAGCCCAGTTTGAGCTGTTTTTTTTGGTCTCCATCTGTTCTCAAAGTTTGTCCTCCATGGCCACCGTACGCTCTCTGAGCTTGAGCCAATTAAATGAGAGTATAAACAAAGACTCTGCATCAAACAGGCGCCTGATTGGCTTCCTGTTGCCCCTCAAAACTAGTTTTCTGCAGTCTAGATTATTACACGTCAAACAAAACCAGCCTTAAACCACCAAAACATAAAATGTGAAATTAAATGAATTAATTAAGACAATGGATGAGCCCTGGATGAGTGCATGTTTAAAAGTTATATCTGTCCATTTAAGATTGTAAACGAATGGAAAGCATGAATGAATTTATTTTGGCAGTTAAAAATGATTCTTAATTCTAGTTCCCATGGCAGGCGATCCAGATTGTGTGCGACACTTACATGTGGACATGTGGAGGTTGGAAGCGGCTCTGGTTGATGTTGTAGTGTGTGAAGGCCTGCGTGGGGTTGGAGCTGTACTCGTCCACCGCGATGGTCACTTTGCCATGAGCCATCCTTCCGCCGTTTGGACATGAGACGCCGTTCGTTCACCGGGATTCAGCAGCGAGCCGTGCGGCGGTCATCCTTCAGAGCCGCTCAAGAAGCCCAGGAAGTCTCCCAGCAGCAGCAGCAGCAGCGACCCGGCCGACCGACTCGACCACGACACACTGCAGTCTGCACCGGCAGGAGAAAGGAGACACACACACACACACACACACAGCTGCTTCAAACAGGAACACAAGGCAAGCACACACTTCTGAATACACTGGTAAGAAGGTAAAAAACCTCTGTGAATAAATAAACACATTTTTACTGTTCAGAAAATAAAATGCAGCCGCAAAAACAGATGGCTTGAGGAGCTGAAATGACTGTGAGCACAAGGAGAGCACACATGAAGTAAGGAGGTGATCTTTTTATCTTTGTCGATTCATTTCAATCACACTGTTTGACGTGATCAGTACTTCATGCCGCAACAACAGTTTTCTTGCTTGCTTTGAGAGCAAAAACAGAGTTGTTGTTTTTTTGCTGCGTCATAATTTGATTTTGGAAAACAAATGAATTCCTGAAACCATTAATCATAAAATCCTAATTAGAAAAAAATGCAGCGAGGCAATTTAAATACAATAATTTTTGTATTTTGTTAAGTGACTAGAAATACTTTCAAAAAACGAAACACTGGACCGTTAAGGCTACAATTTACAATCTGGAAGGCACGTTGTTAATTGCTGCTCTGCTGCTCATAACCCAGCTGGTTTTAATACAAACTAATATAATCAAATCTAGAAAATGACTGCAGGAATGGCCTCCAAGGAATTAGCCTGTTGAAATTAAACCAAGCAAATGGTCAAATATGCCTTCAGTAAAACAAGACATTTTTCACACAATGCAGGACACACTCAACAAACCCCCGAAACATGCAGAAATAAGACAAAGTTCTACTTCTCTTCTTCCAGGCCCGATTATGAAAAGAACGAGGAACGATGAATGCAATCTGATAGCTTTGCAAATCCGTACAATAAAGACTACAACTGGGCAAAAAAAAACACACTTCAATTCTGGAGGGAAAAGCAGCTAAAATGCTGCACAAAGTGTGGTTTTCCTTGCATCCTCAGAGCTCACTCACCGGGCTTCTCTGTGTGCGTCTCCTTGCAACCCCTGAGCTTCCCTCCTGCCTGACCTCCCTGACTGATAGTGAAGTGGCCACTGTGGGCTTCACCGGCTCTTTATACCAGACCTCCTGGTGCAGCCACAAGCATTTCAACAAGGGAGAAAAAAAAAATCAATTTGTCATTTCTGGAGGGTAATCGGCAGCTCCGGAGTTCATTTGATGGTTAAATCCTGTGATGCAGTGGTGAGTAAAAAAAAAGAAACTCCAGTTGTTGAATATCGTAAAGCAAACAACCTCCCCAATTGAACCTAGAAAAACTGTCCTATTTTTAGAGAAGCATTGATTTATGTTTTCTGGGTCAGCTGGATGCTACTTCCTATGATGTGTGCTATGAATTTAAGTCACAAAGATTCATGCCAGCCGAGGAGAAAAAAAAAAAAAGGAGGCTGAACTCAATTCCTGCAGATGGCACCAAAAAAAAAAAAACCAGAAGAAGCTCACACACTTCAAGTCTTTACATTGAAAAATGTTGTAATGCCATTATTCCAACTCCCATTTAATCCGTGCTGCTGTAAGTACAAGAAACAAGTTGGCAGAGCTTCCTGTGCCTTTAAAAAAAATAGATTAAAATCACTTGAATTAAAAGCTGCCCTGTCAGATGCCTTGAACACTTCCCCTTAAGCAATCTCTTCTCTCAAAACAAAATCTAAAAAATGTGCTCTTTTTTTTGTGCAAATGCAGGCCGATTTGTGTGCAGCATGCTCCACGGTCTCCTCGCCGTGTGTGTGTGTGTGTGTGTGTGAAACTTGCCTTCCCCGCTTGTCTGTCTCTACCTTGTGGCTACAGTAGCAGCAACTAGCTCCGTAGCTTAGCTTGCTAAACCTGCCCTGGCACTATATTTTTTTTAATTTTATTATGCAGGCTGTAGCTTCACACTGATCTGCTTTTCTATAACAGGGGTGCACACGCGCGCACACACACACACACACACACACACACACACACAATATACAGTACCCCCCTCACCAGCTACACACCAAATAGCTTACTTCACGGGTAGAAAGCCCTCCAGTACGCAGAGAGGGTAAAAGGCGAATAAATTGACCCTTACTGATAACATGCATGCATATATAATATATATATATATATATATATATATATATACATACATACATACATACATACACACACACACACACACACACACACACACACGATGTGTGCTATGCACCTCTTGCAGTTAACCGCTTGCAGAAATGTACACAAAAAGAAAGGAGGTCCGTGCAAGCCTGAACTCTGCTCCTGCAATCATAAAAAACACCCAAAGGTGGTCAGTGTCACGGCACCGCCGCGCTAACCTCTTGCTCGTCCTCGTAAATGACAAGCCACCTTTTAACCGACGGCTTTGTGTCAGGAATTTCTTTCTTTTCTTCTCCCCGTCTACCCCTATCTCTCTCTCCCTCTCTCTTTCTCCCCCCTTCCCTCCCTCCTCGGGTTCTCAAAGCAAAGCGGAAAGGTTGCTCTACCTTCGTCGTGTAGGTTTTTTTTTTGTGCGTTTTTATATCTGGCCGGAGAAAGAGTGTCGGGTCGGGGTCGCCCTCTACGCGGCAGCAGCGGCGGCGGTGGAGGGACGCGGGTCCATGCGGCAGGAGAGCGGGTAGGTTCGTCCGTCCGGGGGTTGCGGCAGTCTGGGCGGTTAGGGCAGAACCTTCGACCCGGCGGGACCTCGGCTGGCTCCTGTGGAAAGAAACCAGACAAGAAAGCGAAGAGAGAGAGAGAGAGCCGGAGAGGCGGGCGAGAGACACTGACAGACAACAGAGAGAGAGAGTAAGAGCAGCCTCCCTCTGACGGAGTGCAGTGAGTCGGAGCTGCCACTGGGGTCAGAGAGCAGAGAGAGCAGGAGCGAGCACAACCCCCCGCCACCTCCTGTGCGCGCGCCCTCACCGGCGGTCTCGCGCGCGCGGCGAGGCGCGAGATGGGAGGGGGGAGGAGGGAAGGAGGGGGGCGGTCGCGTAGTCCCGCTCTATCTCCGTGCTGCATTCACTTGCTGTCGGAAATGAGATTGCTACTAAATTGCATTTAGACAGCAGCGATTTGGGATTAAATTAAGGTGGGGTTTTTGTTTTAATGAAGCCAAAATGCTCAGTTAAACATATTTAATAAAAAATGAATTGCCCCACTTTCTAATAATACCCATTCATAAAGGGTATTATTAGAAAGTAGGGCAATTATTATATACATTGATAAGCTAACTACCTCATGAAGGGTTTATAAATTGTAGATAACATAATTTAATGCTTAATTTAGCTTTAATAACTATTTGTGTTGTTGTCCTACACTTAATTTGTCTGGAATACATGTTTGTTTAGAAATAAAGTTGTTTGGTGTCATAAATGGTTAATAAATAAATTGTTGAAGGGGACGCCCATTATTCAAAATACATGTCAGTTAATAAAGCTCAAACGATTATAGACTATTGACTTGTCACATATTTTATCTTTCAATAATTGAATGGTTTACTTATGAATTAATAACTTAGAAGCTTTATGGCTTTATAAAAGCTGAATAAAGTTTGACGAATAAACATTTGCTGCAGCAGGATGAAAACCAGCCTCAGGTTTTTTTTTCTATACAACCTGGTAATTAAAGGCTCCAGTGCTATCTGCTTATTACTGATCTATAAAGCATTAGTAAGTGATGTATTAGCCATTGGCTATTGGAGTCACAACGTACAAGTTTTAAAGTGCCACATTAAAAACGTGGTGCCAAATCGGTTAAAACATCTTCAACTTCTCTTATTTGCACTTTCTCTTTGTATAACAATTCTCAAATCAGGTAACAACCCCCAAGCAAGCCCTTCAACATCCGCACCCCTGATTACTTTAATCATGCTGGAGACATCCTATCCTAAATTGACTGTTTACCCTCAGTGTCTTTCATCTCTATGTGTCTTCTGTTGGCCGTAAGAAAGGTTTTACTATGGCATGTTTACTTCAGGCTGTGAGGCTTCATGACATGGCATAATAAGAAGGTTATTGATCTTCTCCCATGAAATCTTATGCAGTATTCAATATTGTGGTTGCTGCACCTTGAACTCAGCATACACTGCCTCGTATATAAACCAGCACACATGCTGAAACTAATCGATTGTCTTGGTCATGATGGACACTAATGGCGAGATCCGGATACAATAGATTCTTTTTAAAATTGGACTTATTGAAATAATCGGGGCATCTGAACGCCACAGACTTGCTCTTTATTTGAGCTTGAACTAACGTGCAGTTTCCCATACTGAAAAAAACTGTACATTAATTCTGTGCAACTGTTGACCTGAAATATTTCTTCATAAGATCACAGACATGTGGGAAAACGTTGAGTGTAGAAGGTGTTGTAAAATCTATGATTAGAAGACAACACGGCCCCTTTGGGTTCACAAGTAAACAATACTAATGAGTACCTGTGGGAGTCCTTCACGCAACCTGAAATGGGGCAACACAGTTTCCAAACTCGGAAAAGCAGCAAATTGGGTGTAAAAACAGCATCCTGATCATAAGGGGTTAACTCCTTGATTGTCAATTCACTAAATTATACATGAAGTCTGGGAGAAAGTGGTCTTGATTTTGTCTCACATGTGTTGAAATGTAGCATATTTGCTCAAATGAACAAACCAAACTTCAATAATTGAACAACAGCGGTTCAATTCAAAATGAGGTTTCCTGTCTTCAAAGTACAAAGGAACTTGTCATACTAAGCTTAAAGGGTTGCTTACTAGTTTTCCGACCTTTTTGATTTGAGATTTGTTTTTGTAGCAACCTCACTGTATTATCGATGTTGCATTTTACAAAGTCAACAAGCAGCCTTACGTTTATCCATGATTAGGATGGTAATTTCAGTCTGTTGGTGGGTCTCACAATGAAATATCCCAACAGCAACTTGATGTCATGAATTGTTTTACAGACATTCATTGTCCCCAGAGGATGAAGCCTTCAGGCTTTGATGACTCCTTTCTCTCTAGCGCCACCAGGACGATGACATTTTGAGGTTTAGTTAAATGTCTTGACATCTTTTGAAGGAACTGCTTTGAAATTTCCCAGATGATGACTTTAGTGAATTGCTGACTTTTCGTTTACCAGCTGTTCAAGGTCTTTAACTTATTTAGTGAAATATCTCAAAATCTACTCGATGGATTGGCAGAAATGTTGATACAGAGGTTTCCCAAAGGATTAATCACGAGAACTTTTTTGATCCCCTGACTTTCCCTGCGTCAGGTTCACAAAGTCAAACGTTTCGCCAACTGTTGGATGGATTATTATGCAATTTAGTGCATAAACTCACTGTCTTTGTGAACTTTGGTGATGCCCTGACTTTTCATCTAGCGCCATCATCCGGTTAAAATGTGTCCAGTACTTTGGTTTATTTAAACAACAGTTAACACTAGTTGTGTCTAAATTTCAAGACAAAGACAAGCATTCCCACATTATTTATCCGAGACAGCCGACGCCAACAGAAGAAACAGCTGATCAGTCACGTGAGTTAAATGTTCGCAGTCAGAATTTATCTGGCAAAGGCGTTACCATATCCCATTTAGCGCATCAACTCTTTTTTCGAGAAAGGCAGAAACCACCTTGTTGTTTATAATGGTAGAGCATGCATGCATGGTGTCCAGCTCTCATTGTATGTGAATTATCTGTGACTAAGTCTTGGATGGAAGGACGGGTGGATGGATGGAAGAATGGAAGGACGGGTGGATGGATGGATGGACATATAGATAGATGGACAGATGGATGGATGGATGGATAGATGGATGGATGGATGGAGCCCTGCAAGTGGAGTACAGTTCTCAGCGCATTAGCTTCTACTATCTTTATAAAGGAAGAAGTCAGGTAACCGCTTTAAGAAACATTTAAGTGCCAAAAAATAATTTCAATTTTTATAATTGCCTATCTTTGGTCTGCACTACTTTATTGGAATGATTCCAGGTGAGATAATTCACTGGAGAAATTCATTTTGTCCATTTATTTTAAATAATGGATGATAATTTAAATCCTATATAGTATGGGAGCTTTGTTCAGAAGACTCTGTACCACAATATCTATGCCCCATTCTCAATATCTAAAGTATGATAAAACCAAATCCAATCTTATCATTACAGTATTATTGTTAATATCGAAGATTTAGAAAAGACAAATGTATTCCAATAAATCATTTTCATTTCTCTGTATTTTTCTGCTGAAGGAAGATGAATGATAATATTGAATTGCTGCCCATCACTGAGTTCAGTAACCATTCAAATCAGTCAGGGGGGTCAAAAAGAATTAATTTGTCAGTGCCAAGGCTATACCTTTTTAATATACTGATGGGATTTCTGATGAGAAAAGGCTGCGTGGGATGGTCCATAATGGACTCATCTGAGTGGCTCTGCCACATTTACATGTCTGCCAGTTGAGGCAGAGCCGGCTTCTTTCTAATTTTACTGACATGCTTCAATTTCACCGGTCCATCAGCACGCTCCCCACTGCCACAACAGCCCTGCGAGTCATTTCCATTTGACTTTTCTCTTATCTGCACACAAAAAAAGCATTTTCCATAAACTAGCCGGCGGGTGTTAATGTGAAAGCAGGGTTTTGAATTTTATGTGGAGAGGCCACCTTTAAACATTTGACCAGCGTTTGTTCTCCTGGCTGCATATAGAAAACTGATGATAGATAGGAGACCAAATGTCACAGAACAAATGGCTTTTGCCATGAATGTTTTATTCAGCGCCGTGTCGCGGCGATCACATTTATACAATGGAAA